CAAACGAGCTGGGACCTAATTAGCGTGATCCAAAAGATCTCAGAACCGCAAGCAGACGGCAATCGACGATGATGATAATGGAATGTTGCATGAGACAGAGAGAGAGAGAGAGAAAAACCTTACCTTCATTGGAAATCGGTTGAGAACTGATGGCCATTGGAACAAGGAAGTGTGAATCCACATCCGACTTGATTGCGTTTAGCTCCGGAATGACATCTTCCGGCTCGGGAATAGTGGACAGTGATGCCGATGGCTGTTCAACTGTTACGCCAACTTCCGTAGCAANGGTGGTGGTGACTGGGTTCGGTGTCACAAAATCCGTGGTAACTGTGACAGTATCGGAATCCAGCTGACAACCCGGATCCATCAAGGGGGTAATAGGCGGACCGACTGACTCGGTATCGAGCGATCTAGTCGCAAGAGCCATCTCTAGATTTGGGGAGAGCTCTGTTTCTCTAGGGAACATTAGGCAGGGAGGATCTGGCGGGACGGAGGTACAATGAGGGTTAGTATCACCGACATCGGTGCCCATAGTCGTGATTGGATTTGCAGACACTTGGTCGTTGCCGGAATCCGCCTCCGGTAATGTGTACCGCATCAAATCCCGTGGGGTCAAGGTCAAACAAGCCCACAAAGGAGGAGCGAGGAAGTTCGGGTTGTAGTATCGATCGAGCAAATGAAGTAGAATCTATCGAATGGAAATAAAAATGCATAAATATTAGTTCTGTTGACGGAAAACAACCTGATGGGTCGATGCCAGAGAAGATCTGTTTGATTAACAATCGCAGTCTGATGGATAGCAAAGGGAATACATCGTCATGAGGTCATTCCATTTCGTTATGGAAATAAGCAACTAAAACACGGAAAAGGATATGTAGAATCATATTCGATCAGAATTGGGTAACTAAAGCGATGTTTCACTTGAGTTCGAACCCTTTGAGTACGGTATGCGATGAAGAAAACGAATAAACCAGCTCTAATGGGACCAGTTTGTGCCCCTCTGTTCGTAATTTGCGTTCTATTATTTTATCATGACAGTACATACTTTCCTATAGAGAGAAAATTCGGAGACCCCAAATAAATTCTTATTTAGTTCAGGACTATGGTTAACGTTTGCGGAACATCATCACACAACACAGTTTAGCATACTTAATGACGAAGAATGCTCGCATAGTCGTGACGGTTTGATATGCGATTGGCTGTTTCTAAGTCAGTGTAGGTGCCCCAAATAACCGTAGTCATCGATGTGCCCAATCGTAGGTTGTGTGCACGGAACATAGGGAACCGATCGTGCACAATATACGCCCGTTCGGATGATCGAACAACAACAGCAACAACAACCGCTCGATTGTGCAATGAGGTTTGGTACGAGAACACCGTGAGATTCTAGAGATCAGATACCGGACTTGAGTGAATAGCAGACTCGACGTGGAACTTCATCGTACCAAAGGCTAAACCGGCCGGTAGAAGGCTCGTGGTCGGGTCCTTCAAATGAACCATTCATTTTGAATTGGACGACAGAATATGAAGTATGCATGTGAAGAGAGTATTTTAAATAAAACCCTGTTATTCTAATTGTAATTGGAATCCTCTTTGGTATCATTTCCGACTTCATCGTTAGAACGCAGCTGCTGACCGCTGATTGGCCAATTAGGTGAATTTTCTCATTTTTGCATCAATTTTCAAGGGCTCCATGTTCAGAGACCCGGACAGTATATAGGTGGACGGCTTGACACTATAAACCCGATTTGCATTTGGTGCATCGATTAAGCATTTTTAGCTCACCGCTTGTGCTCTCAACTCCGTGGTTGGTTGCCGTCTTAGACTAGTCAGTACTGAGTGACACAATGCTGCAGGATATGAAGATCGTAGTACATTGGATCATACACCCTTGGGAGGCAGTTCGAGCGCCTAACAGTCCAAGTAAACCATTTAGTCCTATCGAGTGGGTATTTAGTGTCACCAGTATGTACTACGGTCAGTTTGAGATGCTTAAAACCAGAGTGTCCAATCCTTCCAGCTGAACTAAGTGTTTGACTCATGACAATGACTATAGATAACGACACTGAAGTTTCCCCCTCTTAATTAAAGTGAAAAAGCCCGATGCACGAGAAGGTAGCAAGTAGAAATTCTCCATAACGACAGTACTAACTATTATTTAGATAATGAATACCAATGATAATAATTTTCGCTGCGAGTGATCTCTCACTACTCGAATAAATACAATAACATGTTCAGTAATTTGACTGTTGAGTAACAGGTGGTAATTCAGGGGACAGCGTTTAACATTTACATATCCCAATCTTTGTTCAAATCTTTGTCTTCCTACCCATCCCTCTCCACTTTCCCCTAATTCCGACCTGTGAGTCTCTCAGGTAGCTTGAAAGTCGCGTGCCAAAGGTCATTGTCCAATAGCACAGTAATTTGTCAACGAAATATATTGCAGAACCTAAAGCCTCATAAATCATTGAATTTGGGGGCATTCAATGAGAGGACTCTGATGAAGGTGGCTTGACAAGCTTGTATGGCGCGTACAATAGATCGATTTTTGCTGCGTATATGAGACTCGAATTGAGGATCCTACTAAATACTATATATTATATATTTCACACAGGTTGGAGGACAGACTACCAAACAAATCATGGTAAGTGAAATTATTCCCGTTTGAGTAGTCACGAGAACACAAAATAACAAACAAGCTCGTTTTCGGTGCTACCTCAGCTGGCTAAATACAGCACAAGTTATAACAGATCAAAACAGGTGGGGAGAGGAGACAGATATCTGCAAAGGAAATCAGAGTATAAGGAGAGATGATGGGCTTGTGATAATTGATGTTCGTGAATGTGTATGTCTGTGTGCGTGGAAAGTGAGAGACGGAAGGTGGTTGTGAATGGGGGGGGGGGGNGGTGAATGAGTGGTTTACCATAAGGTTTATATGGCCCCTAATTTTTTGCTTTTCATCTTTACACCTCGGGAGGGAAGTAAGAAAAGCTCATTGATGTAGACCAAATTAAGGGGACTATTGTGGGCATATGACTGGTTCCTTCCTAAGCCACTTCCAGAACCTCCCGACGCTGACAGTCGTGCATTTACTCAAATTCTTCGCAAACTAAGGTAACTTGCATTCTGTATCTTTATAGTCGTACTGATCCCAGGTCTCTATTTTCTTTGTCTAGTCCCTCAAACGAAAAGGCAGCTAAGAGAAGACAAGTGCCCTCGGTGCGCGAACGTTGTACCAACTAAACCAAGAATTCACAATATTGATTATACAAGTTTTCGGTGTTTCAATACTGGTGCACACGTACGACCACAGGATGAAACACTTTTCGATGTTACACTTCTTTCTGCTGAATAGACAATTGTGTGACCAAGGAATACGATGAACTGGCTAATAAACACAACGGTGGAGACATTTAAAAACCGAGCATGAACGAGATCGTTGTGCTCCGTAAGTTCTTCAGCAGGCAAGAACAAAGCCGAGACTAACCTCAAAAGAACCGGAGCACTATCACCGGTTCAGTCCCATTACGCAGAATGTCACGTTGATTGTTTAATAATATTACTACTGACAGTATTGGTAATACTAATGATAGATTCCCCATGAGCAATATTTTTTCGAGCGGGGGGGGATAAGATGCCAACGGAAAATCGTTTCCCATACCAAATGAAGAGAACTAACACAAAAGCAACGCAACTCCAGGTGAGAAAATCAATTTCCAACTCGCTGCCACGGTCCTGTATTGGATTTACGATTGTGCATTCATTTGTTACCAGTGTCTCAAAAAGGTACTATGGGGACACATGGCATTTGGGAAAGCACGCCATAATTTCGTAAAAATTACGCGGGTGATTTCTCTCTATGAACAAACCTCGTAGTGCAATGAACAACTCTGTAAGTGATAGGTAGTGTCAGGTCCCAAAACTATGACCAACGATCCAAACTAGGCCCAAACAGTAGGAATGTGGTACGGAAACCAGATGACAAGGTGGTAGGCTACAAGAATCCTTGAGAACACAGTCGATCTATCCAGGCGGAAAACATGACCGCCAACTAGACTGACTTACCCTATCCAATTTGGCCAACTCATCACGATAGTGGCGTAAAACGTAGACAGCCAGTGCGTTCAGCTGAGCCCACTGGCCTTCGACGAAATACGTATAAGTTGCCTCGGGTACACGGGAACGCACTGCGAGCACAGACAACACGGCGGACAATCCGAGTTCCGCATCCGCTAAAACGGCATCCTCCAGTTGGGCCAAATCCATCTGGCGCAGATAAGCACTCTGTGTACCGCCCAGACGACGCGGTGGTGCACCGTGTTTTCCACGGTCTCGTTCGTCCAGTTCCAGTTCACGTTGCTTGCTCAAATGATTGTTTACCACCAGCGGCAAACCGGAACCATCTAAAATCGCCCCCGTGGCCAGAACTGGACAGCATGAATTACGCTCGGTGGGTGTATCGATGTTAGCAGCGGTCGGAGGATTGCTTGTCACCGGTTCGGTCGTGGTAGAAGTTGCCGGTATCGGATTACTGGGTTCATCCTGTCTGCCCTCGTTAGTCTCCGTGACAGGGGGAACAGTTAATAGTGAGTTCGGATCGGCCAGATGAGCGACTACGACAGCAGTCTGATGAGTTCCCACCAACTGGTGGAAAACATATGTGGCCAAATTGTATGGAACGAGGATATCTGCAGATTAAGAAAACGAGGAAATGTACAATAAGAAACAGGTAAGTTGAAGGTGGATGATAATTGTGTGCGTTGCCTCGCTCTGAAAGCTGTGCCCGAGAAGTTTATTTCAACATTACGATCTCTCTATCAGTTCAGTTTCAGTTTCTATAACCATTAGCCATGCACTATCGTGCGTCGCTTTTGGTTGCTGTCTTTCTCCGCCCATTTGGATGAAGTTAGGAGAAAGTCAGGAAAGGTTGAAAGTAGGATCAAAGAGAAAAGTGAGAAGTTTAGTGGACTAATGATGCAAAGAAATTGAGAAGATGCACGAACGCCACTGTTTACGACACCCAGC